TAAAAACTAAAGCAAACTAAAAAAAAAAAAAAAAAAAAAATTAAGTTTTCAGTTGGGAAAGTAAAAACTAAAGCAAACTAAAAAAAAAAAAAAAAAAAAAATAGGGCAGAAAAAAAAAAAGAAGTAAAAAGAAAAATAGAAAAAAAAAAGAATAAAGTAGTAACTTCCCCCTTTATCATGACGAGTACAATTTTAGTAAATTATCACCATCTCTTAAGATGCAACAAATGCATTATTCTTCCCATAACTCATCTCTTAACTATTAACAAAATCTGAAAGCCTCATCATCCTAGTCAGCAAAAGTCCATTAAGGGCTACCAGAAATAACTACATAACTATTTTAACCTTGATCAAATAAGTCAACTCTGTATTCCTTCCCTGCGCTTTTAACCATCTTAGGTTTTAATCCCTTAAAATAATGTCCTTGAGCTTGATTTCTTTTCATCTTCTCTTTGTCTCCTCTCAGCAAATCCTTCAAGGCTTTAATAGATCGCTTCTGTAAATCCAGTAAAAAAAGATTATCCAAATCACTCTTCTGAATTAATACTTGTATGGCCTTCTCAAATATCAAGACATCAATCGGTTTCATTTGTATATACAGTGTGTCATCTTTTTGCATATGATTCTTTTAACTTGTCATATTTAAATCCACATTCAAATCAATTTCAATTTTATCCGGTATAATTTGTTCTTCTGTAACAGTGTTTGCCCACTATATATCTATGCTGTTAATTAATTTCTCAGTCCCTGAGTACCAAATCTCCATAAAAGGATCTGCTATTAAAATATTTTATTCCATTTTGTATTAACATGTCTAATCTGAGTGCTCTTCTCCTTTAAGTAATTTTTAGTTTCCCCAGGTTCCCTCTAGGGTCCAACATTCAAAGTCCCTTATTATCATGTTATCTTTCCAGCAAACCAAAACAATCACAATTTCCCATGGGAAGGATTTTTATATTTAACTACAAATTCTCATTTCAAAACCATCTAGATCCTTAGTCCATTTTTAACTTTCCAAAATCATCACTTTGAACCTCCTTTTCCTGTTTATTCCCTCCAAAATTATTATTTTTCTAAATCCTTAAAGTCATATGTTAAACTTCTTTTGTAAAAGAAAAGGAAACTTGCCCAGTGAATGCAATAAAAACTTGCCATTCTGAAAGTTCTTAATATTTCAAAAACAGTATAATTCCAGAAGTGATTAAGAGACGAGGCTCAGTTGAGCTTTTTGTCTATAAAAAAGGTTGTGTTACGACTGTGAGCTAAGATGGAATCCCTGACTCCCAGCCGCTAAATTCAGAAGCTGATCACAAAAACTTCTGTTCATGTGATCTACTCACAAGGAGTGGCTGTATAGAGTACACATGGGTTATCTCACACTCTCTCCTTGCTCCAGAGAGACTTCGCCGGTCCGGATCCTGCATCCAGCCGCGATCTCTGCCATAGACGCCATCCTGTTCAAACAGGGACGTCTAGCTCACTATGAATCCTCACCAGAAGTTGAAACAGACAGCAAAAATTGAGGATAATTTTTTTAAAAAGGTCACATAAAATCTGTATAAAAAGAAAGAAAAGGATTCGTGCAGTATATCAACCCAAGTAATGTCTGCAGCAGGCATCCTGGTGTAGAGAACAGCTTTGGGTCCATCAAACAATTCTAAAACTGGATCTTGGGTGCTCTGGCTGCTTTTTCTATTTGCTCTAGAATAACTCAGTTTACAGGATGGGCGAGGAAGCAAGATGGCTGTGAAAGTCTGCTAAGGATAATAGAGCAGGTTCCACCAGTAGAAAAGAATCCAGTTGATAAGAGTGTAGAATAAAACAACAGTTTGGCGAAATACCTCTGAACTCTCAAGCTGGACCTGTCCTAATCAATGGAGATTCAGTGTTTCAACCCTGGAACAAACTAAACTTTTGCTCCAAAGGTAGAAGCTTCAAGCAGAAGACCAGAGTGAACTACCTCAGTTTTTGGACTCAGGAGGTGAAGCTATTTTAAAATATCACTTGGGATGTAAATGAATGCTGCCACTGAAACTGATGGAAAAAAAATTTTTTTTTTACCAAGATAGGATACAAATGAATGTTCTTCACTTAAACAAAGATACCAGCAAAGAGGATTTACAGCTGTATTTCCCTTGGGTTTTATTTTATGAAAAGTTTATATATACTGTATATATAAAACTTTCTAGGCATTTAAAAATATCCCTCCTGATGTAAACAGTGCTCATTTCCACAAAGAAGCCTCATGCTCTGATGTGTTGCAGATGTTTGTTTTGTACTGGATTTCTCCATTAATTTTGATGAGTAACTTTGCTTCTGTCCTGGGGTCAAAAGGAAACACAAATTCTATGGAAAATAGCTGCGTTATTAGATGCCTGTGGTTTCCTTTCCTAGCATTTCAAGTTTCTCTCCTTTGGCTACAAGGAGACAAGTCTGTCAGCATTAACTTCTTTGCCATTGAACCTATGCCACACAATCTAGAAACAAATAGTTAAAGAAAAAGGAACACAGGTGAAAATAAGGCAAAAATCAGTTAACTTATGCATTTTGGCTGACCTTACTAGCAAAAGATCTGCTTGTTCCAGGACCTAGTGTTGCCTGATGGGGCAGTGTTTCTGACTTTGTGTTATCTCTTTTAAAAGTAGCAAAAAATCAAGGAAAATCTATGTAAGCTTCCACCCTGGGAAGTGGGGGAGGGGGAGAGGCATATTCTACCTCTGTCTCATAATCTGAGCAGTCAACAAGGTGTACAGTCAATTCTCTGAACTTCTAGCTATTCTTTCTAATTCAGAAATGGTGATTTTGTTTTTGGCTCTACATATGTGCTGGCTACATAGACTCAAAACTGGATTGGGACAGGGGTCACTTCTTTCTCCTCTGCAGCAGCAAGATTCATCCTTCTTGCTGGTTCCTGGTTCCCTCCTGCTGGAACAAATAAGAATATGGAACACTGCAAATAATCAAATAAATTTGTTGAAATATGCTCCCCTGCTGGTGAAGCCCCACTTCTTCAACACTGTATCCTCAATTAAAGTCTTATTTTAAGAAGCGAGCAGGGGGCAGTGAACTGAACAGAATTGTACTCTTGAAACAAGCAGACTCAAAATCTAATTGTGTTGCCATTTGGTATTAAAAACACATTGTACAGAGATTGCAGGTATATTCCAGAAATAGTGCCATGTGCAAGATACATTTTGTCTAGTTCAAATGAAATTTTTGTCTGTTGAATTACATAATCATAGTGGTGAGACAAGATAGTCTAAAAACTGAAAGATAATTGAGCCCATTAAAACAGGGAGTTGCTATTGGCAAATATTCAGGACACCGCAATAACCAAATCAAGAGATTTTGCGCTCAACACATTCAGCGAAAGATGTGGAAACTGGCCTTGCACCATCTGCTCTGCATCTGACTTAAGATATTCTGGACTTAATAAGTAGATTCACATAGGTAAAGAAACGGCTTTATTTGCAACTCCTCTTCCTGCTACTGGAGCTCTGGATGCTATTCATAATGAGACTGGCCATTTGCAACCAAAGAGTACATCTGAGCTAATAGTTACAGAGGAGATAGATCTACTTATGCAGGATCAGTCTTACTGAGGTGTACTACTGTTCAACAGTAAACAAAACATTCTGAGATAGATAGATCTCGGATAAAAACGAACAAAAGTTCTTTGTTGTTATAATGTGTAAAAGAAACCATAAATTTTATACCCTTCCCCAAAGGGTAAAAGATGTAGAAACTGTCTCCTTATCTAATTACTTTTTATGCTTCAATCAAATATGGCAGCCTTCCCCAGAAATGTTGGGAATACAACAGAACTGGTAAAAGACCCTACAAAGTCCTTGGCAGGGATTCAACTTGGGCAACCTCTGATGTTTGACCTGTGATGGGTACAACCAGAATGGCAACGCAGAGACTTTCTTTGATGTTTTTTGTTTGTTTTTACCTCTTCTGGCTCAATCAGCTTGAATTCCATGCCCCTTCCAGTCCAAGCAATGAAATGAGCATTGGCTGGGTCATCCAGGAGTGTGACAAGAAACTGCCACAATTGGAGGGATCCTCGTCTCTGATAAGGAGGCCCTTCCCGATATACGGTGGGTTCTTGCTTCACTTTACCTGTTTGCAATAACACACATCAATTAGAACTAACATTCTAACATCTCCACCATTTGCTCCTGAAGATTCAGGTAGTTTCCTCAAAACAGTTTCAATGTTTCTACAGAAAGCTAAATGAATGGCTGCAAATCTGACTGGCAGTGCTTTTCTTTTCTGCATATTCTATAATGGGGAGATGTGTGTTACTTACCAGTTGAATATGGAAAACTTTATGCAGCTGGTTAGCAGCACTTTTTCTGTGTGGTGCATTATCAAATTAATAGAAAAAGCTTTAACACCGAGGCCCTGTCCCTTTCAGCGAATGTACCCATGTACATTTGACATACAAAAACACTTTTAAAACAAATGGGATGCTTACTAGCTAATAGAGTCTGTTGGTTTTGGGCAGCTATAACAAATTTGAATAAATAATACTAATAATAATAATATCCATTCTAATTTTTCACTACAGCTACTGATCGCCACCATATGGAGTCTCTTTACCTTCCATCCTTTCTGGTACAACACAGGTGTCATCGAAGTACAACTGGGCATCTTTCTCATAGGAGAACCCTAGGAAAAGAGAAGACATACTCAATAGGTCCTGCAAATTCTCTGCTCTCTCTCTCTCTCTCTCTCTCACACACACACACACACACACACACACA